TGTTAGCCGAGAACCTCAGTCTGATGAACTCAACACAAGTAGCACTGATCTTCCACAAAGTTACACTAATGTCCCCCCCCTACCCACCCAGGCAGGCCAATGCTCACATCTCCCACCGGGCACCCTTTCCCTCCCCAACCCTCCCTCCCAAATCATCAGGTTAACGCCCTTACACACTTCAGCATGAACCTCAATCATCTGCCTAATGACCTATCCACAAACAACAGCCCATAAACTGACCTTGCAACCACAGACAAGCATTTCTGTGCAGCCTCTGTTAGTGACAGGGAACAGATGATTAATAGAACGCGATACTGGACTTCCCCCCCGGCGGATTGAGGACCTTATTGTGTGAGCGCGGCCTCGGCCCTAACCGGGGCTCGTGATTGTCTATCTTGGGCTCTGGCTCCAAGCGTCGCTCCTCTTTGCCCACATCTTTTTTCTCACCTCCGTGTTCCAGCTGTGGTTTGATATTTTCTGTAGCTGAATAAAAAGAAAAGGGATTAGATCAATTGGCTGTTGCTATTGTGCAGTGCACAATGTGTACTCCTCTCTGGCAGGCTGCGCTATTACCCATGTCTCCCATGCATAGCACACCAATGTTTCTACATCTGTTCATCTTTCTTGAAGGAAACAGATGCTGAGGAAGAATTTAACTTTTTACAACAATTCCTCTCTTCCTTCAGCCATCTTTCTAGCAAAGATACATCAGCTGAGCAGTGCACCTACAGAACTGTTTTGGCAGTTTCACACAATTAAGAGATGCAAAGCGCCAATCGATCCTTTCATGCTGAGCTTGAAAGCAGCGTTCCCATCATTCTTTAACAACCACCAGCTAAGCAGTAACATTTTTTCAGTAAGCTATTTGTTCTTTACAACTACAGGCAGCCAAGAATGCACACTTGAAGGAGATAGCAAGGGAGAAGGAAGCAATCTGACAGGATGTTTTTCTATATCTACAGATTCCATGTATATCTATATACACACATGGCATCGAGCAAAGTATGTTCTCCTCAATTGAGGAGAACCATTTCCCTGAGACAAGTGATTAAATTTCTATCAAAAAGCAAGCTTAACCTAAACACCAGCCTTGGTCTCATGTTTTTAAGAGGAAGCATAAGAAACTATTCCTCAGAGCTTAACTTCTCCAAGAGAAAG